GTTGTACAACATCACCGCAATCAATTTTTGAACACTTTCATCACTCCAGAACTTCATTCCTCTTTGTGGTTGAATAATATTCCATTGTTTGTATATACAGTAAAACCAGCGTTCACTGGAACCTGTATAAGGCAGAAACTTGTCAGAGAAGGAAAACTCATATATTTTCCACTAATAGAGAGTGATAGAAAAGTGGTAAGACTGCACCTTGTCAAAGGTGGAAAACTTGTGAGTCCCGGAAAAACAAGGCAATCCCATCAAGTTCCGGCACTCACAGGTTTCGCTGTACAACATTTTATTTATTCAAAACACTTTTTGTAAATTTGACCGTTACATATGTCCTAGCTTTCCTTTTGACTGTTGTTATTTATTTTTCCCCATATAAAGGTGTTACATTTTTAAGTAATCCAGTTTGTCAAGCTAGGCTACTATGACAGTATTTCTCAGATCACCTGGATGCCTCAGACAAATGGAAATTCCCGGCCCCGTTCCAGACCTAGTGTATCAAATTTCTAGGAGTAGAAATTGGGACTCTGTACTTTTAAAAAGCTCCTCAGGGGATATTCTTCCTTCCTTCTTTCCTGCCTCTGTTCTTTCTTCTCCTCTCCCTCCCTTCCTTCCATTTGTTGAAATGGTGTATCCTTTGCTGTGTATATTTTCACCAAATAAATGAAAAAAGAAAAAATTTTAAAACAAGGTCAGAAGGAATCATTACAATTCCTTTTTTCTTCTTGCTGAACAAGAAGTGATAAAGAGTAAGTCATTTTGATAACAGCACACTCTCAGAAGCTGACAATAGCTTCCAATTGTATAGTTTATATAAAAAAACCCATTGCCTTCAAGTTGCTTCTGACTCATAGAGACCCTATAATGACCCTATAGTTTACATATTTACTTCTATGTTTGATTTTAATAATTCTGGCTAATTCAATATTGATTATTGAATGTAATAAAACTCAGTATATGGCTTAAAAATATTTATAGGATTCTAGGGCCTGGGCTGGATGAATTTATGGTAAGTCTTAGAAAGCCTTAATACTTTGTTTGGGAATGAGTGGAATTTTTCCAGATTGGGGAATCAAAGAATGTGATGATGTTGAAAGGAGTCATAAGGGGCAATCTGTTAGCCTTGATAAGTAGGCTGTTTAGCTGTTTCAGTTTTATCTTCCAAGAGCAAGTGTTTCCTGGAGCACCCAACGAGGTTACCTTTGCTTGTTCTAAGTATCGTTTACCATAGTGACAGCTATAAGCCTCATGTAACTTTTTTTTCAAGAAAAGGTAAACATTAACTTAGAGTGTGTAAATATGACATGGTGGTCTTATTTCTGATTTTAGAGTAAATACTTCCAGTAATTCCCTATTATACTCTTGGAATTATATAATAGTTGTGTATTTTAAGGTTTCTATTTCTTTCTTTCTTTCTTTTTACTGTTCCCTAGATGAAGGTCCACAGGACTAACCAGCCTCCCATCAGTTAGTATATACACTGCCTTACAGCACTGGCCAGCAACCCCCCGACATGTCAACACTCTCCCCCCTTGACCCTGGGCCGTCCATTACCAGCTTTCTTGTTCCCTCCTGCCCCCTAGTCCCCGCCCCTGGACTGGTGTGCCCCTTCAGTCTCTTTTTGTTCTATGGGCCTGTCCAATCCTTGTCTAAAGGGTAAACCTGAGGAGTGACTTTATCACTGAACCAAAAGGGTGTCCGGGGGCCATACTCTCGGGGCTTCTTCAGTCTCTGTCAGGCCAGCGTAAGGTTTCTATTTCTATTATGCTTTTATCTTTATTTCTATTGTGTTTTTATTTTAAATTACTGCTACATGTAAGTTGCTGCTTCTTGACACATTCCTACTGTTACATATTTATTATGGATTGTCAGCCACCACCCCTTCCGGGCAAAGCTGCCTCTGTGTGAGCATTCAGAGAGAAAAATGAGAATGAATCAAAGATCACACAGTTAGGCACACTGTTGAAATGTGAAGACTTTGAAATTCCAGTTGCTTCTCTCTTACATGTTACGGTGAAATTAGTGGAGTGAGTTGAACCTCTATACAGGGCCCATCATAACCTTTCTCACACCCTTCTCCACACTCAAAGCTAGCCAGATTCAAAACAGAGATGGCTCCGAGAGTCACAGACTTCTCTGGTTGTCGTAGACTGCATTAGGTCTCTAAGGCCACATGATGAAAACTTTATTTAAGGGAATGAGGATCAATGACTGATATCAGTGGACTGTAAGTCCTCACTGTGGAGCTTCCCAACCAGTGACACAGAATGGTTACAGGTGTGGACAGATTGTATCTCCTTAGCTATTGGGGAAAACAAGAATGGCTTAGGGCCAGAGCTACAGGCTATCTCCCTCTGGTTGACAGAGCCTAGTCCATATCCTCAGTTTTATGTAACATGATCATTGACTTTGTAGGCCTAGTGTGGGGAATATTGGGAGGTACAGTTTTCTTGTCCCCTCCCTGGCCTCTATTGAGGTCTACCTGGTTACTAGGCATCTGGGAGGTTCTGGGCAGAATGCTTGTGGCAGGGCTCTGTCTTGTGTTGTGGCAACTGATTCCTAGCAACCTGAGACAACTCAGCAGTGGCCTCAGGAGTCAAGAGGGTCCTCTGATGGTCTTGATGCTCTGTGTGACGCTGATCCTGGATGGCATGTGCGAGGTAGTGGCAGCAGTTCTGGGGGACCTTACAGCAGACCCTGATCACCAAGGAATGCTGTGGGAGATGAATGACTTTTATAGTCATAGTGAGTTATTACTATGCAAGGAGAGACAAAGAACTTGCCGCTAAATCTTTGCCCTTCTGGAATAAAGACATCGAATTGTTGAGAGGTTTCATCATATAGAAAGAGAATTGAAAGACCTTAAATCAACCATACTAGAAGCCAAACTCGAGAATGAATTACCAGATAAAGGCAACATGAAGACTATGAATAGAGCTTAGAAAGCTGTAATTCTGTGAGCTTAAAACAGATACTTATAGAAAAGCTTGGAAAGAAGAGAAATAAAACTGTTGCAGCAAGTTCAGCTGATGGCTGACAGATAAGCAAGACTTAAGTCCTTAGAATACACATCCAAGCAAATTCAACATCAGGAAGCTGCAACCAAAACATCTTTGAGAACACATCATAGGAATGGAAAAAAACTCTGGATTGTCCGAAAGTCTTTAGAGAAAATTTCCTATCTTCTAAGAAACATAAGGCTGCTCTCAAAAGAACCTCAGAAATGGAAAGAGTGGGGAAATTTACTGAAGAGAAAAAAAAAAGCAGGGAAACTCTAAACTGCCTATGGAGCATTGCTCCCCAAGAGTCAAATAGATCTTCTAGGAGAACATTTCCTAAAGATGAGTGACTGGGCTGCAGTTTTTGGGACAGTATGGATCATGGGAACGCAGAATTGAATCTATCAAAGACATCAGAAAATGGCGATATCTCAGTCCATGATCCAAAGGAGTGTTGATTTATATGGCTGACTTTAACACTTATTTACAAACTCTCAAAGGAAAAAACAACTGTACAAGAAATTAATTAAAGAAACTAAAATAATCACTACACTTAAAAATCATATCAAAGCACTCCAAACCAAAAAAGCTGTCCTTCAATCAGAAACATCAAGTCCTTCCTAAACTGGAATGAGAAGAAGAAACATTTTTATTCAGTCTGGAGTTGAGAGAGAATATACTCATAAAGATAGAGAAGAATCTTTGCAAATAGAATGAGAACATATCCCATGCCTGTGAAGACCTATATGTGTATGAAATGGAAGCAGAAATTGTTTCAGAAAAATCTAAATAACTCTGTATTACCAAAGCCTTCTTGATGCCTAGGAGAGAAGAGTGTGTGATGTCGGGATAAGAGCTCTATTAGCTGAAAGAAGCCTTGAGAACTTAAGGAAAGCAAATGTGTACATAGCACAAAAGCTGGTTGAGTAAAAGAGTAAGGTTTCTGAAATACGTCTTTCAGTCCCTGACCCTCCAAATAGGACATTTGGCTGAGGCTGAAGAGCACATCCAGGACAACCAGATTCCTGAGGAAGGAGGAGCATCAGGCTGAAATGGTGCAGGCATGTAGTGACCAGTTGTCAACCCCTGGGGTCCTTCCAGTCTGGCCAACTCCATCTTGAGTCCAGCGAGACAGAGCTTGTCTTGGTGCTCCTCACGCAGGCAGAAGCTCAATAGCTTCCTCTCCTTCAACCCTCCCACCTGATTAGCAGAACAGTTGGTCCGGGCTCTGGTCCTCCATGCTGTCTTCTTGTCATTGTAGGTCAGAGGCTAAGGAGGGCTCCCAGGAGGAAGTTCCTGACAAGAAGACACCCCATGCTCCCAACCATTCTGGAAAGCAAGGAGAAACCTTCTCAAGAGTCCTTTCTGCCAAAGGTCTTCCCAGGCACAGCTGTAGTCTCCATTGACAACAGCAGGCTAGGTGGTGAACAGATATTTGGGTGCGGAGGCTTGCGCCCATGGGGGCTTGATTACCTGCCTCCAGTCATATCATAGTACAGATAAAGACTTATTTCAAAAGCACAAGCATGTTGGTGAGCTGAGAATTCAGGTGAAGATTTTTTGACCTTTAATTGAACAAATTTCCATTTCATTTCCTCCGGCAAAGTAATTGTTTTAACCTATATGATTCTGTATAATGTATTTAGTTCAAGTATATTTGGCTTAATTGTTAAAATAAGCAAAGAAATAACTTGATGTGATTTAGCTCACTATTTACATAATAGTTAATTTTTTTCTATTGAGTGGAAATATTTAATATTTGATCAAAATGTAAATGAAATAGCAAAGAGTTAATGGTTTTAGAAATATATTCTTTCATAGTTGTGTTAATGAACACTAGATAGATTTCCTTATAGTAGGTGCTCTGTTAAATCAGTCCTTCACTTACAACATGAACCCCTTGTGTGGAAGGCTGATCTTGATGCCTAGCACGTAGTATGTAATGTTTGTTAAATGAACTGATGATGATTCTGGAAAATATTGTATGTGTTCCAGGACCTGATCTTCAGGTTTGCATATCCAGAAACCCCACGTGTTGTACCAAGAAGATGGAGGAGCGATATCAAATTGCAGCTCACCAAGATATGCAGCAGGTGCTTCAAACGTCCAGCTCTGCATTAAAGTTTCTGATATCGCGAAATGCAGCTGCTTTTCAAGGTAAATGTATCTTGAATTATGAAACTAAGAACCAGTCTTGTTATGTAATTTGCCTAGTAGACTCATACTGGTGAACTTTCCTGAGGTTACTTCTTTGTCTTTGCATATTATTCTGGTATAAAATGAGCTTTCTCTAATCTTTAGAACTTGTCTCTGAGGTCATCATGGAGTATATAGATACACACACACATGCATATACTTACATGTATTTATTTTATATATACATATGTATTTTTGGACTGGGGAAATTGTTTTACTCATCAGATGGCAAATGGTCCTTGGAAGTATGTACCTTACTAAGGTTCTTCCATAAGGCGCTCGGGTGGCACGATGGTTAGGTGCTTGGTTGCTAACTGAAAGGTGGGCGTTTCGAACCCACCAGCCACTGCACAGGAGAAAAGACCTGGCAATCTGCTCCTATAAAGATTACAGCCTAGGAAACCTGATGGGGACAGTTCTGCCCTGTCACATGGCATCTCTGAGTTGGAATCGACTCGACGGCACATAAGAACAGGTTTCTTCCATGTCTCTCAATATTCCAACTGATCGTTATACTTCAGTATAAATGGGGATAATGTTTAGATTTTATGGTACATGAAAAAATTATGTAACATAAAACCTCATTGCTTTTAACTGGGTGATTCTAAATCTATTTTTAAAAATATGATTTGAAGAAATATTTGTCTAATTCCCTCCCACCCCAGAAACCCCATGTGGATTCCATAAGAACACCAGTGTTAATATTTCAAAGTGCAGACAAGTCTGATAAATAGCAAAATAGGAAATAATTAATTGGATGTTTAGGGTTCAGCTAAGACCAGAATTCAACCTTAATTCAAGCAATATGTTCAGAAATAAAATTAATGAGTTATGAAATTACAAGGCACACTGAAAAATAGATTATCTGTTTATTTTAGTCACCTCTTCTATAAAATTCCTTATTACTACAATAAAATATTTTATTTGTCCCTTTTGTAAAGCATTAGCTATTCTGTATGACTAGAATGAAAACATCTAGATGATACTGTTTTTCAAACAAATTTATTGCTTTTGTTCATCACCAAATATAACTTTGGTTAATACTCTTTTTTAATAAGTATATTAATGTCAGTCTGTTTAATAATTTGTGCTTTGTTTACATATACAACTAACAGAACTGATTAGTTTTAAAGCCCTACTTATTAAAGAAAATAAATACAATAAGTCATAATAAAATTTAACTTGAGTTAGAATGTAGTTAAGTTGTAGAACTGAAACGTCAGATTTTAAGATGTTATTAATTTAGCATTTTTCTTTAATGTCATATAAAACAACTTTATATCTGTTTTGGGATCTTTTCATGTGAAAATTTTGGAGGAAAACTTATTGACATACCTTTAAACAAAAAGATTTGTGACTTGAACTGGCTGAAGTAGAAGAGAAGACTTTAAGTACCCATATGCAGTGTCACTGTTTTCACAAGTTCTTAGTGAAGGTTGGTTTGGAACAGAACCCAGACCAGACACTTCTAATGGCATGATCAGCAAGAGTTTATTACTCACAGAATAAACAGGACAAGGATGAGTAGAACAGCACGCGACATCACTAGCCTAGGTTCCCCAAAGTTAGGTATCCGAGCAGGCCCTAGTTCATGTCTTGGGAGGAGAAAGCCTAAGTGCCTCTCTCCTGGGATTAAATACTAATTAGACAGCCATGTGTATGTGCCAAACTGTGTGTACAGAGAGCAGGTAGAGGGAGGAGCAATTAAACCAAAAATCCAAAACCAAACCTGTTGCGTCGATTTCAACTCATAGCCACCCTGTAGGACAGAGTAGAACTACACCATAGAGTTTCCAAGGAGCAGCTGGTAGATTTGAACTGCCAACCTTTTGGTTAGCAGATGTAGCTCTTAACTACTGTGCCACCAGGGCTCCGGGGCAATCAAAGGGGGTGATAAAAGGTAAAAAGTGGTAATAGAAGTTGAAAGCCCCCTACAGGCAGTGGATATCATTTATTGCCCCTGTTCAGAGTGGGCTAGATTTACTGGTGCTGGAGAATAATCTTTTGTCCTTTACCCCACTAAGATAGCTTAACAACAGTTCTGGGTTTCTTCAGAGGGCAATCATTTCCCCCTAAAGCACATACTTTATTTTATGTCTGTTAGTAGCTGTTACGTCCATTAGTAGATAGGGAGATGATGAAGGGGCAACTAAAATACGGCACACTGTGTATCCAGTGTCATAGAAAGTTATGTAATTACTATTTCTTATGAAAATGATAATATGTACAATGTGGAAAATATATTTTAGTGATAAATGGGCAGTGAATATACCAGTCTGACCAGAACAGGGGGTTTGTGACTGAGAATTGTGGGTCATATGCTGGAAAAGGTGAGCTGGACTCACCTTGAGGAGGACTTAAAAATATTAGTACAAGTTTGAGAGCCATTAAAGATTTTTGAGCGGGAAATTTACATCATGATTTCTCATGTTTCAATGTCAAAATTAAATCCTGGGTATAAGAATATATGGCCAAAGAGATTTATGACAAATAAAATCTACTTTTTTGTGGGGATAGTACTAACTATATAGGTGAAAGAAGAGGTCAGCAATTACTCACACATGGGCACTCCATGAATGTTAGTTGAATATTGACTTGATGCTATAACCTATGAAAATATGTTTTTCTATATTCAAAGATAGCGTAATGGACTCATCACATATTCTTGGAAATTAAGAAAAGAGCATGTTAAAGTTCAAAAGATTGGGGAAAATATGAAACCTGGAGTACTTAGATGTTTAATGTGAGTTGAGGCTACTGAAAAGTTTTGGAGCTATTGCTAAAAGTCTAGTAGTAATTACCTCAATAATGGGAATAGATGTTATGCTATTCTATCAGAATTTCAGATAATGTAAATTTTTGTTATTTTCTGTTTAATAAATTGTATCTGTTATATTCAGTAGATTGAGATTTTCTCTTCATGTAAAAATTAATCACAAAAAGTATAGGGACTTTTTAAAATATGATTTCTATAATAAATTGTAATTTCCCCCTTTGTAGAATACCAAGTTTTATTTTAAAATCATGAGAGGTAAGATAAATTTGGGAAAAAATTGCCTAATGGCTGGAACAAATCTCCTTCAAGAAAAATGCCTGCTTTTTTTTTTTTTTTATTGTACTTTAGGTGAAAGTTTACAACTCAAGTTAGTTTCTCATACAAAAATTTATACACATATTGTTATGGACCCTAGCTGCAATCCCTGTAATGTGACAGCACACTCCCCCTTCTACCCCTTTTTCTGTGTCCATTCAACCAGCTCCTGTCCCTTTCTGCCTTCTCATCTCACCTCCGGACAGGAGCCGCCCATTTAGTCTCATGTATCTGCTTGAACTAAGAAGCATACACTTCAGGAGTATTTATATTTTATAGTCCAGTCTAATCTTTGTCTGAAGAGTTGGCTTTGGGAATGCTTTTAGTTCTGGGTTAATAGAGAGTCTGGGGGCCATATCTTCTGGGGTTCCTCTGGTCTCAGTCAGACCATTAAGTCTGGTCTTTTTACGTGAGAATGCCTGCTTTTAATTTAATGAATAGAATAAGTAGCTTTAGGTTTATTTCCATATAGACAAGCTTAGATATATATGCTAAAAGCAGTTTGAGAGCCCACATTTGCTGTATCATAACTGCTCAAACCACTTTATCAATAAGGAAAATGACCTGTGTCTACTTTCTCTGCAATCAAAATATCAGAATACAGTTAAAAATTCTTATTTTTATAAGAAGAAAGAAGCCAATATATTTTATTGGGAAACTTAGTCCGCTTGAAAGAAGTTTAATAGGGAAATCAAATCAACTTTCAAATGATGGAAGTAGATTTGCTACATTTTGATATTTTAATTTTGTTAATGTTTAATTTATGTTTTTTCTTCAACAACAGTACCTGTTGTTCAGTGGTATTGTGGATTATAAAAGACTCTGGACTGGGATGTAGTCTGGTTCCTTGCCTCATGGATCTTATGGGACCCCATTTTGAAGTATGTTTTTGGAGCAGTCCATTGGGTATGGCCAATGGGGATGGTCACTTTAGGTCTGTGGGTTTAGTGGGCACCACACTACTGTGAGACAAAGACTGGGAGGCTGGAATAGCCCTGGGGAGAGAGGAAGCAGTCTTGGCAACTGGCGCTAGAAGAGATGTGAGCTTATTGTATGTACAGTCCACATTCAGCCCTGGATTCTGCTACCTGGCAAGGTACATGTTAGGTAGGCTACTGGGACACCTCTTCTTTTCTTTTAAAGAATTTATTGATGTTGGTTTCAACCAGATTTCATTAAAATAAAACAGCTAAACAAAAATCCTTTATTGGAAAGGCCCATCATTATTACCTGGGACTTCACTATGTCCCAATTGTAGCCCCTCACTGAGGCAGCATTTTGGCAAAAGGGCAAGCTGATCTCCCTTTGTCCGTTGCTGTTCGTAAGTAGGTGGTGATGTTTCAAAGAATGCTGGCTCTGTCACAGTGCAGATAATAACTGTTCTTCATTTTCAGGGGCTTAATAATGTTCATGAATAAGGCAGAACAGCCTGAGATAATGTGGAAGTTTGTTTTCCTTTAGCTCTTTTATATGAGTGTGGAGTTGTCTGCTTTAAAAATATTTTGAAAATATTTTTTGTTTTATGTATTTATACACTAAAGTTAGGTGTGACTCATGCAGAAATAGAAGTTGGCAGAGACTATGTTGTCTACTGTAAAGAAGTAACTCTTACCCAGCTTTCAAATTTGTTAATTTTCATTCTCTTTTCAAATAAGATCACAAAGTTTAGTTTTGTATTTAAATGAATAATTTCTTTTATAAGGATTGGCACAAAGCTTGTTTGTATGAGGCGGAGGTTAAAGACGGCCCGATTGTCCAACTTTTCCAAGCTGCTGTACCACTCCATCATCTCTACCATCAACCACTCCCTCTCCCCTCAGCACTCTCCCTGCCATCTTTGGGTTCCCTAATTCACTGCAACATCTCACAG